CCACCGATACTGGCGTGCCACCACGCAGCACTTCAGTCCCTGTTTCCGTTACCATGGAAGGTGTGGCCTTGGCCCAAGCCTCATGGAGCAACAGCATATTGGGCATGTTTGGTATAATTGTGGCCCTTTTCATACTCATCATACTGGCCCTGACGTGTTACATAGTACACTATAAGAATAAGGCGCGAAAGACGACACCCACATTGGGACGCAATCGGGTGCACAGTCATGGTCACAGCACTGTGTCATCGGCAAATTTGGTCACCCATGAAAAAGTGGCGGGGAATGGTAATGGTGCCACTGTGACCAGTGGTAATGTCTCAGTACTGCATATGAAACATAATGGAAATATATCCATGGCGAATCCGATTAGCAATGGTGGTGTCTATCATCCGCCGCCGAGTAGCAGCTTAAGTAGCAATATGGGCATGGGAGCAACCGCCATGTTGGCAGCAAGTTTGGAGAGGGAACGTGAACGGGAGAGGCAGCGTGAGAACTATGCAGCCACTGTGAGAAGTGAGTAAAGGATTCAAATTGATTATATGCTTCGATAGTACTTGGAAAAAATCTGCAAAAAATGAATTTTTATAGCTCTGATTTCCCGGAAAAAATATATTGTTTAAAAAATTCTCGATTATATGTGTGATAGTCCTCGAAAAATTGTTGTTTAAAACTCATCCGTTATACCTCCTGATAGTCCTTGAAATATTAATGCTTTCAAATTCACTATTGTAGCTCTAATAGTCATCGATTAGTGCTGTAACAATGTTGGTTAAAAATCCATGCTTATAGTTCTGCTAGTCCTCGAAAGAAGGTTTTTTTAAAATCCAAAATTACAGCTCAAATAGTTCCCAAAAATATTGTTTAAAAGTTCACGATTACAGCACTAATAGTCCTCTAAAAATATTCTTTAAAAGACCCACATTTATAGCTCTGATAATCCTCAAATAGCTCTCTAAAAATATTCTTCAAAAGATCCACTTTTATAGCTCTGATGATCCTTGAGAAATTTTCTTTAAAATATCCACGTTTATAGCTCTGATAGTCCTCAAACAGTTTTCTAAAAATATTTTTCAAAAGACTCACGTTTATAGCTCTGATAGTCCTCAAAAAGTTCTCTAAAAATATTCTTTAAAAGATTTGTGTTTATAGCTCTGAATGTCCTCAAATAGTAGAGAAATATTCGCTAAAATATCCAAATTTATGGTTCTGATAGTCATCCAAAAAAAATGTTTATAATTCCACAATTTCACCTCCAATAGTCCTCTAAACATATTCTTTAAAAGACACACGTTTACAGCTCTGATGATCCTTAAGAACTATTCTCTAAAAGATCCACGCTCGTAGGTCTAATTACCCTCAAAAAATATTGTTTAAAAATCGACGATTACAACACTGATAGTCCTCAGTTAATTTTTTTTTCAATTCACGATTATAACTCTAATAGTCCTTGAGAAATATTAGCTAAAAAATTCACATTTATAGCTTAGATAGTCTTCGAGAATTACTGTTTAAAAATCTACGATTATAGCTCTGATAGTTCTCGAAATATATTTCTCGAAAATCCTCTCAAAAAGATCTACGCTTATATATTTGATAGTCCTCAAAAATATCGTTTAAAATCGACGATTACAGCTCTGATATTCCTCGGTTAATTTTCATTTTTTCAATTCACGATTATAACTCTAATAGTCCTTGAGAAATATTCGCTAAAAAGTTCACATTTAAAGATTAGATAGTCTTCGAAAATTATTGTTTAAAAATCTACGATTATAGCTCGATATAGCTCTCTCCTCGAAAAAAAAAAAAAATCTCTCTGCTCGAAAAAAATAGTATTTAAAAGTTCGCGGTTATTTCTCGGATAGTCCTCTAAAAATATTCTTTAAAAGATCAACGTTTATAGCTCTAATAATCCTCGAAAAGATATTGTTTAAAAAACCGTCGATTATAGCTCTGATGGTCCCCCAAAAATATACTTTAAAATATCCCATAAATGCTCTGGTGGTTTTGGAAAATTATCTTGAAAAGATCGACCTTACATGATCTGCTGGTCCTGGAAAAATATTCTTTAAAAATCCACGTTACGTGATTTGATGGTCCTTGGAAAATATTCTTGAAAAATCCACGTTACATGAACCGCTTGTCCTTAGAAAAATATTCTTTAAAAAATCCACGTTACATGATTTGATGGTCCTTGAAATATATGCTTTAAAAATCCACATTTCATGCAGTCCTGGTCTTGGCAAAAATAATCTTAAAGAAATCCAAGTTGCGTCGTGCGATGGTTCGTAAAAAAAATCTTTAAAAATCCTTGGTATTTGGAAACATATTCTTTAAACAAATTCACGTTACATCGTCTGATGGCCCTTAAAAAAATATTCTCTAAAAATCTACATTGCATGCTCTGCTGGTCCTTGGAAACGTTCTTTAGAAATCCATACTTTATGTTCTGTTGGTCCTAGAAAAAATATTCGTTAAAAATCTATTTCATGTTTGGTTTGTGCTTAAAAATATAGATCAAACCCCAAAAACATTCTTCAAAAATGTACCATTAAATCATTCTTCAATGCATCCACGGACACCATTGTCCCCTCTTCTACATTTACTAGTCCGAACACCTGTGTAGTTCTTAAGGTGTCCTATATAAATAAAAACATTAACATTTAATATTTTTTCTTCAAAATTTTAAAATTTCTCACATTATTTATCAAATTCCTTTTTCAGGTATCGTTTCAAGGGCCTCTGCCAATGGTCAGCTCTACGAAGAAGATGAACTGGAAAATGATTCACTGTCACAAAATTCCCCACATTCGGCGGAAAACAATAACAAGAAAAGAGCCTGGGAGCCACCATCGACTACAATGTCTCAACAGACGGGTATTACAACGATCACTTGCGCCAATGGTAGTGTCACAAATGTTGGCGTTAATGGGGCGTCCAGCAATTTGGTTGCATCCGATACAATGGGTTCATCGGAAAATAATTTAACGGTATATTTTTAAAAAGTATATCTAAAATTAGAAGAGAAAAAGTGCTGTAAATATATTTTGTTTTTAAAAAAATGGTGTTAAAATATAAAAGTCTACTACTTACGTTGGTGGGTTAGGTGTCCTGACCTCAAGTTTTTGTTTTTCCTTTTATCTTTTTTTTTCTCGTTGGATAAGCTAATATATAAGAAAATTATTAATAAATTAAATGTTATTTAATGCGATATAAATTATATAGGTTTGTAGATTAGAAGTGTAAATGGAAGACCAATGCAAAAGAGATATAGGCCACGTCTAAAATTCTTAAAAAAAGTAATCAGATTGTCAATCTTGCTGGTGCATATAATGACGAACTTAGTGGTGCACATATTGCCCTAAGGCCTACCTTTATTTATTTTTCTATCAACTTCCTGACTCCTCTTGTGTCTTCTGCATTGGGTCTTCCACTTAAAAATAAAAAAATATTAATCTCTTAGTTTTAAGAACTGTGAAAAATACTCTCTTGACTCCATTTGTAAATCTTTAGCTTCCATTATAAGATATTATTGTTATATATAAAGATAGCCTAATTTAAAAAACATATATAAAATAACGAATTGTAACCTTAAAGTAGAGAATAATATTTATTTAAAGTGTTTATAAAATTGGTTTTAAATAAATAAAAAATATGAAAACAAACTTACGACACTTTCATTATTCAAGGGGCTGAAAATTCAAACATATATAATCATATTTGTCTATTTAAAGCTGTAAGTTTGAAAAAATACTTTAATGGCGGTTAGCACCTTAGTTCAGAAAACTCTATGAAAACTTTTTAAAGAGTTAGGAAATACCTCTTATAAAAGATATGGTAAGAAACATCATTCTTCTTTGAAGTACGGGCACATTTTTCGATAAATTTGGTACGAAATGTTACTACAGCATCAGAGAAGCCGATTTGTGTCCGAATGCTTTTGCCGAAAATACAATTGCATAAAGAATTATTCCTTTCTATACTCAAATCAGGCCAACATTTCTTTACCAAATATTTCAATAAAAAAATCCTAGAAATCGGATATTCAATCGAATTTTTTAAATCCACTTAGTTCGGTCTTAGGCATAGGAAAATTCATTGGGGCTTAGGAACCTAAATATGTGACGCGGATCTCAGTTCCGTACCCAACACGGCAGAACAATTGTTATTATTTAAGAGCTTAATGAATTTCTGTCTTGGAAAAAATCAAAACCAACAAAAAATCAGACCGAAAAAATATCAGACCGATGCTGATGGGTTTGAGGGAAGAAGTTGAGGAAGGAAGTATATGATGTTAAAATTGAAATCTAACTGTAGGAGACATAAGGGTTGGGGTAAACTTGCATGTTAACAGCGAATTATAATTCATTTTTGTTGTGTTTTTAAACACCAGAATAATTTACTTACTACAAAATAGGATTTCTGTACTTGCCATTGCATTAATTTAATGTTTATTATCCAAATCCCAACAGTCCATTCCACTTATCTTAAAAAAAATTCACCCAAAATGCTACCTTGAAATGAAATGCAAAAAAGGTGAATAGGTTAACTTAATAAATGAATTAGCCACTTACCCGCTAATGTATCGCATCGGGCCCCAACGCTTGGTAAACCACTTTTTCATAATCTTCTGTTAACTGTTTTCGTAATTTCCTTTAAATTTGGGAACAACTCCTACAAAGCTATAATTTTGAACAACAACAAACAAACATGACTGTCTTTTTTATAAGTTTTCAATTATTTCAAATTTAACTCACTAATGCATTGCCTTGAATATGGGACCCTAACGGTTGGGAAGCAATTTCATCATAACCTTTGCAACTATTTCGGTTTAATTCCAGCACAATGTCTTCTAATCTGCATATTTTGTGCAAAGAGGAAATGATACTCTCCTTTATTAAGTTTTCTATTCAATCCTTCAATAGAATTTTTCAATGGGATGTCGAATTTTTTCCAAAAAACTGCTTAACTTATTGGAAACTACCTCTTTCTTCTGCAGAAACTCATAAAGAGGAAAAGACCTTACTAAGCGCGCCAATTTAAGAACCAATCCACTATTTAAAATAACGGCGTTAATCACAAATGGAACATATGCAAATCATTGAAGATTGATAACACACACTCATCTGTCAATCACTGTAAAATAATTCTTGATATTGCAAACAGATGTTTATGTCAAGAGAGGAGAAAGAGAGAACACCAATAAGGTCCCTCAAAGGACGCACGGAATAAGGGAAAATATTCAAAAAGTAAACGATTCCTTAAAAAAAGGAAAAATCTATTAATTTATTGTCCAATATGAATAACAACCTAACAAATAATGCTGGTGGTGGCGGTGGTGCCACAACACCCGGTGGAACAGTGGTCAATGTCGAAGAAAATGTCTCGCTGCTTTCGGAAATCTCCGATATTATGCGTAGCTTTGGTGACAGTGACCAGCCGCGAATGGAAAGTGTTAAGCTGGTGGAACACATACTACAGCAACAGCTGCGAGGAATGTTCAACGAGGCCTCCTTGGTGGCGATGAAACGTAAAAATAATCCTTGTCCCTCACAGGCAGACTTCGAGTTCCTCATGCGCAATCATCCGGTGAAAATTGCTCGTATGCGTAAACATTTAAAGGATATGAGAATCCTTAAGAAATTCTTAAGTATACGCACAGGAAGACCACAAGATTTTATGGAAGATTTAGATCAACAGGACTCCGATGAGGAATTGGGCATTGATGTACCCGAGATGTACGATGAAGATCGGACTAGGAGACTTTTCCGAGCTGATCGCATATCACAGATATTAAGTGGCCAACAATATTTGGAATTCAATGAGGCTCGCAAAACTTCGTTCTATTGTCGTCATGGGGAGAAAATCAAAAATAAATTTCGTCGTTTCCTTGATCTTCCGGCTGATTTGAGAATACCCACAACCACAATGAATATATTGGCATATTTTGCTCATGAAACGATTGCGGTTATTGTGGATTATGCCATATTGACTCGATTGAATTCATCGAATCGTATTACGGAGCCGTTTAGTCGTGTCACCTCAACGGGGGCATCACCGGCCATGATGCACATTTGTCCCGAGGTCACCCAGGGTCGTGGCATGGAAGTTGTTAAACCCATAAGTGTCCAGGAAATTCACGAGGGAATAAGACGTTTCCGTCAAATGACCAGCAAAAAGGTGGGCTTCTATAGAAGTACATGCGATACGGATTTTCGACGCTCCTTTTTGGCATTGTAAGGCGTGGTGTTTGCAAGACAGTAGGTATTTTACTCTTTTTATAAATTCTCAATATTTGAATGAATTTAATACTGGTAGATTTTAATTATTTTAGCTGATTGGATACTCGAAAAAAAATAGTTTTAAGTTTTGGAATTAAAAATAAATGAAAATAAAAAAATATTAATGGATACTTTTCCATTATTTTTGTGGCTCTATACGACTCTCAAATGGAAAATCTCATTTATAATGGAGCGTTGCAGAGTATGTCATTCCAAGATTCATATTCCGAAGAATAGGTGACGCCTAGGGTTCTCTTCCGAAGAGCAGATGACGCCCTGGGCCATCTTCCGAAGAGCAGATGACACTTAGAGTCATCTTCCGAAGAGCAGATGTCACTTAGAGTCATCTTCCGAAGAGTAGATGACGCCTAGGGTCATCCACCGAAGAGAAGATGACGCCTAGGATCATCTTCCGAAGAGTAGATGACGCCTAGGGTCATCTTCCGAATAGTAGATGACGCCGAGGATCATCTTCCGAAGAGTAGATGACGCCTAGGGTCATCTTCCGATGAATAGATGACGACTTGGGTCATCCACCGAAGAGTAGATGACGACTTGGGTCATCCACCGAAGTGTAGATGACGCCTAGGTCACCTTCCGAAGTGTGGATGGCGCCCAGGGTCATCTACGCTAAAGTAGATGACGTCTAGTTTCATCTACGGTAGAGTAGGATTAGCTATGGTATAGTAATTGGTTTAAAATAAATGAAAAGTTTTTAAATTTAATATTGATTTCTTGAAATAAAACAAAATATTTGTAAAATATTCTAAAACAAATTTGAAAAAAAACTATTACAAATATTTAAATAAATATCATTCATTCATCAGTGACTTCTTCTTCAACCATAATGGTAAATACTTCCTCTTCTTCGTTGGGCGTTAAAGTTTCTTGATAGTCTATCGTGCCACCTGCCAATTGTACTTCTCTTCTATGAGCTTTGGTCAACTCATGCTGTTTCATATGATGTTGCAAGCGAAAATCTTTATTACAATATTCGCAACGATATAACTTCACTTCGGCATGTATTAGCTTGTGTTTCTTTAGCGAGTGGCCATAACTAAAGGCCTTGCCGCAAACATCACAGATATAGGGTTTTAGGCCCTGGTGGACACTAAAGAAAAGAGAAGAATATAAATATTTTTTTTTGTTGCTGATAAAGTGACTTTCGAACTTACGCTTCATGGGCTTTCTTCACAGACTCATAGTAAAATGTGCGGGAACAATATTCACATTTATGCGGTTTACCTCCACTGTGGGAGAACATGTGTTTACGCAGTAATTCCCTCATGTGAAACTTCTTATCACACAATCTGAAAAGAGAATAAATAAGAAATTAAAATACCTTGAAGATAAATGATGCCTGGAACTTACTCGCATGAATATTTTGGCCGTTTATCATGACGCTGACGATGTTCCATCATGCGACCCCGCTTAGAGAAAACATTTCCACAAATATCACATATATAGGCATGACTACCATCTTCTCTGGGCTTCCCGCGACGTCGTGAATTCAAGGGCTTTACATGCAATTCATCAACACCATCTACTTTTAAATCGATTTCAATTGATTCGACTTTTTCCCTATCACCACAACTTTCATTCTCTTTTCCTTTTCTGGCAAGTTTCGGTTGTACTTCATTTTCCTCACATAGGGAGTTATCCTTAACAATTTCAATTGTTGTCTTACTCTCTTTTAATTTGGAACATTTTCGTTTTTTCTTTGGCGTATTGTGACCAAGCTCTTGATTTTGCAGCACCTCATCCTCAATGCTTTGCTGTATCACATCGATTTCATGCTCTGAGATAATTGATGTTATTTCCATTTCTTCATCATCGTAATTATGGTCATTATCACCTTCATTTTCGCTATTGGAACAAAATTCTTCTTGATTAAAATCATTTTCTTCATATTCTAAGTTTTCTGTGCGAGGTTCTTCTTTGTTGTTTTCCTTTGCTTCCATTTCTTCTTCATTTCGCCTCTCTAGATTGTCCCCCGAGTTCCTAGCATCTGTACTATGTTCTATTACAACATTTTCTACATAGGTACTGGCTTCTTCCTCGCAGTTTCGGGGACTAGCCAGTGTTCTCGCAGCCTCCTCATTTTTAATTATTACAACTTCTTTTTGAGGTTCACTCGTCTGAGGTAATGTTTCATTCTTCTCCACTTCCTCATCCTGCTGATGAGGTTTTTTGATTTCTCCCACATAGGACATCAGAATTTCATGGCTCTGCAGAGCCTTTTCGCGAAATTCAAACGCCATACTCAGGGACATTTCACAGTTCTTACAAATAGTCTTTGGCAACATTGTGTGTTTATCTTCCTGCAAATAGCCAATCATAATAATTGAAATCCACCCATTTCCACTAATATTTATTACTTACCTGTTCCACCTCTATTCCCGTGACTTTGAGCAACATTTCATACGGTGGCTCATCTTCTTCGTCCACTGGTTTGTACAGCGAACGCAATTTCTTGGCCTTGCCCAAACAAATTCGACAGCAGTTGGCAGTCAGCTCACACAGCATGATGAAACAGGTTTTTATGGGTTAGTTTAATTCTAAGGATTAGTATTTGTTTGTTTTAATAATGAGTCTCCAGCTAGATTTCCATTGTTTACAAGTGAGGATGTCGTCTGACTTGTTCAGAGTTGTCAAAAGTACCCGAAGTAATCGTATACCAAAATTGGGTACTTGTTGGTTTATTACAGCTGCTTGTTTTTTGTGACATATGTCAGCTGTTTGATGCGCAGAGTTGTATTTGCTTGTTTGTTGGCGATTCACATTAGTTGTGTTTTTCTACAAAGTAAAAATGTACAAACTTGTGTGTACGAAAATTGTTGAAACTTGTAAAAGAAGAATAAGGGTGTTTAAATACATCTCTTTATCTCTACACAACGTAAATACATCTCTAACATAAAAAATAGATTTATATTCAGTTAAAGTTGTATTTAATTGTCGATAAAGAATATTTGTAGTACTTACTATTAAAAGGTAAGGTCATGGTGGAAGAATACAGGGAACATTGATGTCTCAAAATTTTTTAAATTTTTTTCAAGAATAAGTAGATTTTAAAAAGTTTTCTTATACGACACCAATCGAAGGCTGTTTATGATATGCAATTTTCAACAATTTTTACAAATTTGAATAATTTTTCATTCGAAATTTTCAATTTCTTTTATTTTTTAATAAAAGTCGAGACATTTCATTTGTTTTCCCACTTGTTAATTCATTTTAAAAATGAGGAAAATATCAAATAAATGAAAAAGCATATCATTTCGAAAATAAACTAACAAACTAATTTACATATGACTCATAATTTTTGCTATCACACACTTGCATATGTTTTTTTATTTTCTCTGAGTACACTGTGATTGCATTTAATAAATATGTTTATACTTTATGGATAAATTTTTGCGCAAATTTAAGTTTATATATTTGCACATAACAAACGAACAAGACTTTTGAATAAATTGTATTTTTCCGATGAAAATAGTGCTCGCTGTGATCGAAAAAGGACGTATGCACTTTACTCGTGTATTTTGCAACTTCTATGTATGGAAAATTTGATGTAAAACACTTATCGTGTGATGGCAGCTTAAGAAATCGGCTGGCTTCTTTGTAAAATGAGTTTTAGGTTGAATTTGTTAATTGTTTACCCTAAGCAACACATTTAACATTTCATGGGTAGTCTTGACCGTTTTACATTTTTATTAGTTTTGACATTCCTACAAGTTTCCCGTTTACGTACATTCTGAGCAAAGCTAATCTCTCAGTGCGAAGTTACCATTTTTCTCTTTTACTAATATTACAATCAAGGTACAATTAAGTAAAGATAGCCTCATTTTAAATCAGCCTTTCCAGCCCTGCATTTTCTATAATTCACCTTGTCAAACTTCACTGTTTAAAAATAGTACCCATCTCTGATTTTATACATACATATCCAACGGAATCATAGCATTTCCGAACAGGCTGCAACTGTGTACCATGATAGAAGCATATAGGTAGTTGCATCGATTTGTAAAAATTGTTTAAAATTGGATATCATAACAACCCACGATTAGCGTCGTATAAGAAAATATATAAAAATATAATTAATTCTGTCAAAATATTTTAAAAATGTTGACATATTAATGTTGCCAAGCGTTGATGCATATATTTGTATGCCTCTACCATGCTGTGTGCATTACCCAAAACGCTTTCATATACGCTCCATATAACCGTCAAATATTAATGGCATTTAGGTGTCAATGTCCTTAATATTGTGACGCAATATTCGAGGCTGACTAACAAGTACTTACAAAATATTTTCATTTTCTTTTTAATTTTTAAAGCCTTTATTTAATTTCTTGTTATTTTTACTTTTAAAAGGGTGTTTTAAATTAAAGCAACAAAAAATAACAATTTTCGCTTAAAACCCTTTTTTTCTAAACATATCTATATAAAGAATGCAATCCGATTTGGCAATTAAAATATGCAGGCAGAAAGTAAATGAAACAAACACATTCAAGCTTGTAAGCTGTATTTCAATTTATGTTTTGAACAGTGTTTAAAAATCACAAAAAAAAGGTAAAATAAAAATGAACTGTCAAACCAATTTTAAAATTGAAATTTTTGAATGAAAATTTATTCATATTTCTAAAAATTGTTGAAAAACATATATCATAACAACCTCGTATAAGTTCTTTTACCATGTGTCAAGTCAAAGATGCTTAACTTTTCCATGCGGATGATTATCAGACGATAAGGTTTTTACATACTTAGTGTCAAGTTTCTCATATGTAGAAGTTGCACAGATCGTGTGATACATGGACGAAATTTCAGTTGTGAAATATATGAGCAAAGTACAAACCATGGTCGAAAAATACAGATAGATGCATCAACGCTTGGGAACATTGATATGTCAAAATATTTTAGATGTCTTTTCAAATATAAGTAGATTTTTATGTGTTTTCTCATACGACGTCATTCGAAGGTTATTATAATACGCGTTTTCAACAATTTTTACAAATTGAAATAATTTTTCATTCAACATTTTCAATTCCAAAATTGGTTTGACAGTTCATTGTCCCAGCAGCTGAGTCGATGCGTCTACCTATATTCCTCTACCATGTTACAAACATACTTTTTCGATCACAGCGAGCCCTATTTTCATTGGAAAAAAAGTGTTGTTTGTTTCATGGTAAATTTAAGAAGGTAAAGTCATTTGAAATAAGCATTTCCATGTCTGCATTTTCTGTAATTTTCCTCATCAAATTTCAGTGCACAAAAACAGGTTTCCATCTCTGATTTGTGTGTATACAATGGATTTGCAAATATAAATTTTGACAATGAGATGTTGTCAAATGAATATTTTTTTAAAAAATTTGTAATCATATGATTGCATGACTTTACCTTCTTAATTCTACCATGATTTTATCCATAAAGTATTATAATTGTTATATAAAATTCAATATGGTCATAATGTAATCAAACTAAATAAAAACATATGCATATGTGGGATACCCAAAGTTATGAGTCATATGTAAAATGGCAACTTTGACATATACACGATAAAACACATGGATAATAAAAGTAATTGCACATATGTAAAATTCATTCCGTCTGATAATGCTTTTAACCCTACATTTCTTGGCTTTCAGGGGAATATAATCATCGTGGTCGAAGGAGAGCTTCAAATGTACAAGCATGGTAAAATTAAGAAGGTAACGTCATGCAATCAATGTATGAAATGTTCACAACATTTCATTGTCAAAATATTTATTTACAATTTCATTTTTATATATACACATAACAGAGATGGGAACCTGTTTTCGATTAAGTTAAATTTGACAAGGTAAATTACAGAAAAATGCAGAGCTGGATGTTATTATTATTTTAAATGAGGTTACATTAATTTAATAACATGGGTACAACCATGGTACAATAAAAAGGTACGGTAGAGTTAATAGCTGATTACAATTTTTTTCTAAGGGTCTAAGTACATAAGAAGCTTGAAGTCATGGCTAGGCATATTTTGTGACATTTCATAAAGGGATTACAGAGCCGCACTAAAATCCAGCCGTCGTTTTCCATTATAATTTGACATTAATATGCCTAGCCATGACTTCAAACTTGTTATGTACTTAAGTGTGCCCGACTCCTACCAATTTTGTGTATATATTAATTGTTTTGAAACATGAAAAACAAATATTTTTAAAAACAATGATTAGAAGACACATGAATTGCGGCTCGCGCATTAAAGCTATTAACCAGTATAGCCATGAAATTGAAAGATAGAACAGTTAGGATCATATTTTTGAGACAAAAATCCAGACATTTTAATCATTTCTCGCGGTATTTAACTCTTTTTAAAAATGAGGAAAAAATATAAAAAAAAAATGAAAACACTAATTTTGAATGAGTCTGACAAGAAGCGGCTGTATTTCTGTAGTTTTACGAAGCTGTTCTACCTCCTTATTGTACCATAGTTACAACTAGAAGCACTAGAACAAGAATTTAACAAAGCACTATAACTATGCAGTGTAAATGCAATATTAGAAGACAAGTCTTGTCCATCACAGGTACGCTGCTTCAATTTTTATTGGGATAAAATAACTTGTGTTCCATCACTTTTTTAGTAGTAAAACTAGCAGAAGAGAGAACAGTACGAAATGCCATTCTCATTTAGGTGTGCTCAAAAAATAAGGGAACGGAAAATTAGTAGAAATGCGATAAAATGTCAACATTCAAAATTCCAAAAGAAAACAATCTAAATCGGACTGGTGAAACCTTACTGAAATGGACGCCAAAATTTAAAAAAATGAGTATTGAAAATAAGTTAAAATTATAATTATTTTTGAATGCTGTTTATTTAGAAAGTTTTGTTTTCAGAATGCGTTGAAGGGTATTTAGAGGTGGAATTTTCTCAAATCCCAACGCCAGAGAAGCTGACATGGTTGGGGGAGCCGGTTAAATTAATGTTAAGTCTAGAAGACTTATTGCCACAAGTTGGGAAGACAGCCAACATAAAAAATAAAAAGAAAATGTTCGCAGTAATAAGCGAACATCTTTGATTTTAAGCTTAATTTTTCAATTTACCTTTCACTAATTTTGCACTGATTTCCAATACGTTTACTTCGTCTGATTCCTCATTCAACCAGTCCTCTTCACTGCTGGAATCTTCCAAAAGTGAATACAACAGTTGCTCCATATTTTCTCTTTTTGTTTTTTGCACGACAGATATTAGTTTTTCTTTAGTTTTTAAGTTTATCTTTTTTCTTTACATTTGTTGTCACGCGCGAACATTGAAATGTATCAATACATTTTTCAACCTTGTTAGCCCTGTCAATTAAATGTCAAATTTACAATTTGCACATTTCTGCTCGGCCAAATTCATGTAGCTAAAACAAGCAGAAATGAGCACCACTCAGCGCCATTTTTTCTCGAGAGAGTTGCAAGTTTTGCTAGTTTTTGGAGTACGGGAAACTGTTGTAGCAGAATTAGCACTAATTAGTTCTGGAACACAACTATTATTATCTGTATTGGATAAGGTGTAAAAATTGAATACTTCGGTCGACTACATCGTATTAACATTTTCTAAAAATTATCAGATAACTTATATAAAGTGAAGGAAGTACCAAATATAGTCCAAATCTGTCACGTCGCAATATTTATATCATATTTATTTAGGCCCGACAATTTCCATTCCTTTGGAACCTAATCCGTTTAGGG